TATTTATTTGTATAGATATAAACATATTTAAAGATAAATTGATCAACCCAGACACAGAACAAAATAATCCACAATCCACACCATCACACAATATTTGTCCTGTGTGAGAATCGAACATATTTAATATCATGGTACGACATTCTGGAATAAGGATGGTCGCCATTAGGTATAGTGCAATGGTATAGACGAAATAGGCATAAACCCCAATCCTTAACTACTACATATCTTAATCTATTTCCGTAACAAGCTGAATAAAAGTACTTAAGTAAATCTGGTGTATAATAAATCTCAGTAGGGCCCAGGTTAGACAGGAAGATGGATCGCCTCCCCGAGATATAATGAAGCGTTGTTCAAATTAAAACATCACGGCCACTTTTTGCTGTAAATTTTAATATCATTTTTGTAATATAATACGTTTACGTTTTATTTAAGAGTGTTTGCTGTTTTACAAGAAGTCACTGGGTGTGAATATATGAGAAATAAGACATAATAATAATAATAATATATCTCACACATCTCACACACGGCCGTCTGATCCCAAACTAGTCAGAGCTTACTTACATACTTATATATTTTTAAGCAGATACATATTATTGATAAATTACACACAGACACAGAACAAATGACCGTGCTTCTCAGACAATATTTGTGCTGGGTGGGAATCCCACGACCTCCGGTTTAGCAGTCAGAGTCACTAACCACTACACCAGCAGGCCCGTCGTAATAATGTAGTGTTAATTTTTTCTCCAGATTCTTAAAGCGTCATCACCGTGTGGTGACGGATTTAGAATACGGAGTGTCACCACCCCTATACATCTCGAGAGTGCCGTGCTTGATTAATTGAAAAATTTTAAAAATTACATTAAATTATTTTTCAACTAAAATCATAAAAATACTTTCATTTATAAATCTCATAGATATTCTTCATACTACTGTATAGTTCTCGTACGAATATTGCTATTTCTAAGGTTAACTCCTACCTAACCTAAATTAAAGTGAAGGGTAGGATAAAAGAAACGCAACCTGGTGCACTACAAAAAGGCATTAATGTTTGTTAGAGATCTAACTACGTTGCTTATATTTTATATATTTTTTACATATTTTTTATTATTGCCTAAACTGGCAACAATTATCAAGAGCAAAAAATATGACCGAAGTGGCAGTGGGCTGGTCATATTAGCCGCAGAACCGACAACCGTTGGGTTAAACGAGTTCTTCAGTGGAGACCGCGTCTCGCTCGGCAAACGTAGTGTAGGATGCCCACAGGCCAGGTGGAGTGACGACGGCAGGAGCTGGATGTGAGAAGCCCAAATTCGATCTATGTGGCGTGCAATGTGAGAGGCCTATGTCCAGCAGTGGACTGCGATAGGCTAATGATAAAAACATCATCATCAATCAGTTTAACAGTATTATCTCCCTTAACCCTTTACGTTACTCTTAACGTTACCCTTTTGCTCTAACTCCGTGGTTTCTGAGCCACGGAGTTAAGCTTATTTCATTTTGGTATCCCATGCATCCCTTTTTGGTAAAATATCCCTAATATTCCCTAACCTAAATTGTAAGGAGAGGCCTATGACCATAATCTTGTAAACGTTCAATAAAATATACGCCTAACTAGCTTCAAAGCCTCCGGCTCAATATTATAGGTATAAACTTCTTTGTCATCTTAAGATCTCTTTGTGATTACAAAAATTTGTTTAATAAATACTCAGAATTTGTGCCTCGAATATTTTCTTAGCAATATAAATATTTCTAAAAAAATGCTGTCGTTTTTTAAGATACTTTGTGTGGGATGCAACGTAATACGGAGTTTGATGAGGGGTAATCATTTTATGTGCGTGTGTTTGATGAAAACTTTTTTTATAACGAAATTACTTTTGTGTGCATAAAAATCAAAGTCTAAGTAATAATATGGCTAAAGCGACTTTATCAGTTTTAGAGACTTTCGTGTGTGATTTAATGGCCATTTTTTCCCATCACATCACATATTAGGATCAGAAAACTTAATTTTACTTAGGTATGACGGGCATGTGTGTGAGGTGTGAGATTATTTTTTTAATCAATACATCTTCACTGTGCTTTACATTAATTGTATCTGATCAAAAAAGAGGAGTATGCAACTGTTGAAATACGCTGACGAATTTACTAAACCAAAGTCAGTACAGATAAAAAAAACTCCGTAAAAATCGTATCACTATAACGCTAAATGTAGTTAAAACCACCAAACGGTCACCATAAACCAAATTGATTCATAGAATCGAAAATTCGGTTTAAAAATTGAACATTTTGACTGTTTGTAATCAACGGGCTCGCAAACAAAATGGTTACACATTGCATTTTTAATCAATCCCGATTCAATTGTACCGAATTTGGTACGAATGATTTAAAATGATTGATATCAGATCGGGAACATAACCGATAGTTATGTAGAATCTCGTTATGGATATTTTACCAGTTTTAATTGAATCACCGTAAACTTGTCGGTATTTCATATAACTATGTGTTTTTATTTCCTTACGTTATTCCTAGGACGGAATTCGATAGACTGATCTAAAATGAATAAGCTGTGTAAGCCTTTTTCTTTTTTTTTGTTGACGGGGTGGAAAATCCCTTCGGATCTCCTGCTCCTCGGGGACTCAGGAGCCAGGAGTATGTGGTGATTCCACTAAAAACCACCCCGACGGCCGGCCTTAGGTGTCCTACTCTGGAGAGGACCCGGACTATGTTATTCCAGGTCCTCCCCGAATTAACACCAAGCCTAATCAGGCCCTATCCCGGGGGAGACCACTTCCCCCTTCAATCGCGGCATGGCGGCCCGATCGCATCTTAATGCAATCAGGCCGGCCATTCAAGCTGTGTAAGCTTAAAGGTTGGCGAATTAACTAGCTTAGGACTTGCGATTAACTGATTGTGAGTACACATCCACCGAGTGGCTTATCATCGAGAACCTACTCCTGATATAAGCTGGTGGTACAAGCTAAGTATTAGCTGGAGACAAGGTCTCCAGGTCCTTAGCGGTAAAGTCGTAGTATGGCTGTTGAATCATAGCTCTTATGGTTGAAAATAATAGTAATATACCTCACACATCTCCTTCTGATCCTAAACTAGGCAGAGCCTGTGCCATGGTAACCAGACATGCCATGCCATGCCATGATAAACATACTTATATATTTTTAAATATGTACATACATGTTATAGATAAATTACACAAAACAAAACAAATGACCGTGCTCATCAGACAATATTTGTCCTGGGTTGGAATTGAACCCACGACAAATATCAAAAAAAAATATATCGTCTTGAAACTAATCTTAATCTTGAAAAAACTACAATTACCTACTGTGTTCTATTATACGTTACATTTCCCATTTTGTGGTAGGAAACTAAACTCTTTCATGATAAACATAATGTTACAATAGTAACTTGTTTATTATTTCACTGATGATCTTTCTTCCAAAGATATGAAACTTCCACCAATCATAAAAGCTCTATATCATCAGATCTTACCTACAGCTCATTTACCCTGTGCCCAGAAATTTATCGATTCGCCCTGAATAACAAAGCCGAATTATTGAGTGTATTACGGCACCCACATTATAATAAACCCTTAATAATATTAAGGGTGGCTCGTGAGGAAGCGATAGCAAAAGCAAACAACATCAATATTGTCAGGGTGGCCTGTCGCTTTTAGGGAGGGGATGTGTCGATAGCACACGAATTGAATTGTTTAAAGTTTTATGAACGTTCATTGGTTAGAACGAAATTGATATGTTATCCTAAGTTAAAATTAACGTTTATCAAACAGATTTACAAATTTTCTTTTTCATCTTTTAAGAGGAAGTACAGTCGACCTATTTGTTGGAGTTATCTCGTCGTTAACGGTGCCCTGGTAGTTGGTAGTTGTAGGTAAATAATTCACACCAAACTAGTATTCAGTTTAAGACACATGTTTTTTTTATTTGTGACGTTGTACGTTATGTTATGAAATACTGATACTAGCACGCGTGACGGAGTTGTTGTTACGACTGAATAAAATAATTAAGTGCTACTGCATAAAAAGAAACTAAAATAGCCGTATGAGTATTATTGGCTCGTACACTATTAATTAATGATTGAACCTGAAAAATATGATAATGTTATAACGATATGGTCTTTAGGTAATCAAAAATAATATATTCATAAAACTGAGTATCTTGGAACCGAATTTAAAATGTAAAGCTTAAAAGGTAAGTGGTTCAATTTGATCATTACTTCTCTTGTCGTTATTAATAAATATCTTAAACAAAATATTTATAACCACTTACTATTATTAAGTCGTCGGTTTTAATGGTCGACAACTATCGATCTAAAACTATCGATAAAAAAAATATCGATAATTTCTAGTCTCAAGAAGCCACACCATTATGTACAAAGCTCTGAGTACTTCTCATTAAAGCCTACCCCTGACTAACGTAACAATAGCTGCTATACAAACACTATACGTCATGGCCCATGCAAAGAAAAAAAATCAATTACTTATTGAGCTTATTAAAACTTCATATTTAAATAGTTTAATACTGCCATTATAGTTTCGAAAGTTTGGATGAATTATAGTTTGTTTCTCGATCATGCGAGAATGACTTTAATGATATCGACAAAGCCACAGGAACAGATAGGGTCGGGTAGGGCGGATATGCTACTTTTTAACTCGAAAAAAATTATTGATGAAATCGACATAACCGCTATACCCTATCACCACAAACAAGTGCAGGTTAATATAAGTCTGATTTTACTATTAAATAATAAAAACGCAGTTAAATTTTTAAGAGGAATTAAAGAGGAAAAAATGATTTTATTACAGACATAATATGATAGACATTTATTACTTGGCTTTTAAACTTCTTGTATGTAAGGTTATATTACTTCGCTTAATCTATTGACTTAATAACTTTTGTAGCTTTTAATAAAAGAGAGCTCATAAACTCTCATATATTGCACAGTTCCCATAAGCTATAATATGAATGCCCCACGGTACGAGGCCTCTGGCTCCCTTGCCCTATATAAAGCGGGAGGTTTGTGTGTCAAGCCTTAACGAGGAAACTGTTTAGTGTTTATCCTGTTCTATGAAACTCACTTTCGTATCTAGACTATTTACCATGTCTGCGTTTAATAAATTCTTTGTAAAGTGATTTTAAAGCTATGTGTAAAATTGAAATATGAGTGTCATAAGCTTTGTCACATATTAATATATCATCTATGTACGTTTTGACTTGTAAAAATGAGTGTAGCTTAGGTATTAGTACACAACGGGCTTCAATTTTCACACCCTAAATAAGTAAACAGAGCAGTTGTTTACATAACAGATTACGATTCTATCAGTTATTTATGAGTCGTCCAGTTTCAGTTGTGGTGGTTAATAATTAAATTTGTTGGCAACCAAATCGTAGGTCCACGGTACACTGGTTGTAAACAAAATATGTTTGATAATTAATTAATGTAATGTGATTTCTGCAACAGTTTGATGTGTAATCTAATGATTTAGTTGTATAATCTAAAGTCAACACAAATGATGATGGGGCCATAAAACAGTATTAGTATTCAAATTAAGCTCAAATTTACGTTTAGTTTTAAAGTGCATGGTAAATATTTGCCTCAGTTTCAAAACTAAACTATTAATCACAGTTAGAAATTTCACTAACATTAACCTGGCAGAACCAATCGTTGCAACCATTTGTCATAAGATCTCTACAACCAGAGCCACAACAAATGACCCACTTATATCAACAAATGTGCTACTATTTCCGTTCGGACTGTGGCATACTCGTACAATAGTTTGTTTTTTCTTTAAATAATAAAAGCTTGTCTTACGAAAATGATTTTGTCACTGTTAAAATGTTTAAATGTTCTTGTCTAACGGAGATATATAAAAATCGAGTAATGTCTGGCAATCTAACGTTGAAATTTATGAATTTCTTGCTCAGAGAGATCTCTGTCTGCAAGTAACTTATACTTTTTAACATTAATTATTTTACTTTTTTTTAAACAAGATGTGTAAGCTCATAATCAACATTATTTTTTTTAAAAGAAATTCCATCATAATATAATCTTTGCTAAAATAATAATAATATTTTCGAAAGTCTGACACACAACGCCATCTAGTTTCAAACTGAGCAGAGCTTATACTGTGAAGGCTAGATTGACTGATACAATACTTATATACTTCTTTTGTAAATAAGTTTTCTTTTGTACATATTATACATATATAACACCCAAACTCCGAAACAAATAACTGCAGATCATATAAACATTTGGTCCGACTCGGTAATCGAACCCGAGACCCGGGAAATACCTGGTAACCAATATTATTTTTCTAGTATTTTGATCTAATTACAATGTAGTTTCTACAAAAGAAATATTGTACTAACTTGGTTTTATCAGTAACACTAACATCAAAATTTTGTTGTTGCAGGACTTACAATCAGAAATTGAAACCCATCGAGATGTATACGCATCTCTCACGGGCACCGGCCGCCGGCTCCTTGGCAGCCTTTCCTCCCAAGAAGACGCCGTTATGCTTCAGCGGCGGCTAGACGAGATGAACCAGAGATGGCATCATCTCAAGGCCAAAAGCATGGCTATCAGGTTAGTGAAACAAATAACTTCACAAGTTTAACCGTGTTGAAATAGGATAGTGTTATTGCCTACGGGGTAGGAAGAGGCATGTTAAACACACATATTTTGCATATCTGTGTGGACAGGGGTGTGTGTGTGTGTGCGTGTGTGTGTGTGCGTGTGTGTGTGTGCGTGTGTGTGTGTGTGTGTGTCGCCTCCTACCATCACGAGACAACGCAAGCGCATAGCACAGAGCCGGGCTCACATTTTGAGTAAGGTTTATGGTTTCTAGAGGACTTCAGACTACGATTCACGCAGACCAGGATTCTGTGATGTAAGTTGCTACGTTATGATGGGAGTTAGAGAGTGTTAGTTTAGGATGTTTAGAGTTAGGCGCTAGACTCTGGGTAAGATCTGATGACTTTTTTACAAGACAAGCCTTGCCGTCTTGGCGTTACTTAACATGAAAATGTTTTTATGCGGATAGGTAGTATATTTTGAACCTATTCACGATATTAAAAGCAAGCCTATTGTTGTCAGTCGGGTTTGGATTAAAAAGTTATGAAGAAACGAAAGGATAGGGATATTGCTTAGATTGGAGAGCGTAAACAATAGCGTGAGCTCGTACATATCTACTTTTTAATAAGCAAAGCTCTCCATATGTTTTATTTGAATACACGTCAACAGCCGTTAATAGTCCACTGCTGAGTCCTCCCTTTAAAAAGGAGGTTTTGGTCTACTATACCACGCTCACCAGACGGGTTGGTATAGCGTTTGTTTCAAGTTTTCCTTCTCTTTGCAGTGCTGTTGTCCTGCGTAGTTTGCTCCCTTGGTCGGCTCTTACGACACCCAGGGGAAGAATAGTGACACTCTGTATTCTTAACAGTCACCACACGCATAGTATAGAATACATAAAATCGCTTTACGAAAGTAGTATACGTTCATTTTTAATAACAAACCATATTTTTTTAACATAGACATAACTTTTTATCTCAAATAAATATTCATAATTGTAGAATGAAACGTGAATTGAAGAAAAAACCTCTATAGGATTGTAAAAAAAAAACAAAAAAAATTTATGGCAACACCGAACACACATTTTTTAACGTCATTCTTGAATGACAGATTACCGAACAAGCGCGAGCCAATGTACAACAAAAAACATTTTATATTTATTCGTCATGTAAGCGTTTGGTTGCAGTTGTTTTAATTAATGTTATACATTTCCAAATACATATGGACACGGTTATTGTAGCTCGGAGTTTTATTACGTAAAGTTATATTAATTAAATTAACTGTTAGTATTTAGTAAGTGCTATAAATGAATTTAAAACTGTTAATAATGTTAGGGGTTGTGCCCGAAGATTTACTCTCGTTAACGTAATTTTTGACAAATCGGCAGCTTCGTATAAAACATATTGTATTTTTATTTAATATACTAGTATATAATTATCATATTTTCTGCTGTTAGTTTCCAATTCCAACGCACACAAACCATCTAAAACAATTACAACCGGTCTAACGCTCTTAACTCGATATCAACCCGTTAGCCGCCGGCTCTCCATCTAGTTTGCCACCAGTGGCTAACCGTATTACGCTAGTCGTTACTATCAATAATTGGTATTAATGTCCAGATGTGCAGATTTGTAGCATGATCTTGTTAGCGAACGGAGGAGTACTATTACTATTAGGTGAGCAAACGTTATGAAATCTTTACTGTGCCATCTCGTGCCATCTCTCTGTATCATCCATACAATTGGTTTTTAACTTTACCATGTGGATAATTTTGTACGCACTTTGCGACCTATATGGGCTGCTATTGCTATAAATACATAAATTAATACTTTATAAGTTAGTGCGCTACCAACTACCTACAAGTCAAAATCAAGGAGGGATCACTACTCTGTTCATTTTTATATACTGTTACTTGTATATACCATTACGCTTTGCTATCTTTTCGGCGTACTACCAACTACTAACTTAACTGAGTAGTTAAGTAAGTTTTTGATTGATTACGCAGGAAAGACTTACAAAATCCTGTGTTGAAATTTGACGACTGGATGGCGTAGTGGTTTGTGTAACGGACTGCTATTCCAAAGGTCGCGGGTTCGATTCCCGCTCAAGTCAAACATTTGTGTGCATGAACATTTGACGTTTGATTTGGTCTGGGTGTTTCTATGTATAATATGTATGTATTTATAAAAAAAAAGTATATATGTATTTATATCAGTTGTCTAGTACCCATAGTACAAGCTCTGCTTAGTTTGGGACTAGATGGCGTTGTGTATATGTGGAAGAATATATTATATAATTACTCAACAACTATTCAGTTGTTGAGTTTATTTGCCCTTTCTTCTCATAAGGCTCAACCCCTTGGAAACGGGCGGTCGTAGATCGGCACAGGCATATCATAGATTTTGTATGGGTTTGATTTTTGTTAAATTTATTTGCTTACTATTTGACATAACAGAGATTGTTGCTTTTGTGTGTGTTGATCTATGACTTTAGAGTCTACATAAAAGACGAGTTCAAACAATTTTGAAAATTTTATGAAATAAAGAGAGTTTGAGTAACAACTACCCTTCAGTGTGTAAGCTGTACATCTGCGGGCCTGTACACTTACCTTCAATTTCTTTCATTTCTTTAAGGATACAGTAATTAATTAACAGTCCTATCAAAGCCCTATCAATAGTAATATGTATACTAAAACAATCATAATTTTGTAATTATTTTTAACGCTTCGCAACGACTACAACTTAAAGAAAAATATTTTGTAAAAATTGAAAGTTATAAGTTTCAGTTAAACGTTAAAATGAGTTTTACCCAACTTATTAACAGTAAAATTGTGAAGTAAAATCTGTTACCTAAAAGTCCAAAATGAAATCATTTAGTGGAGCAAAATTCGTAATTTTTTTATTTTTTTCTATTGTGTATAATTATTTGCAATCTAAAACCTTAATGAGCTCCCTTGCGCCCTGTGGTTATTCGTGCAAAACTAATAAAATTAGAATGTGTAGAACTTACTTCCATGACTTATAAAAATTGAGACGTAAGCCGTAGTATTTAGAAAGGTTTGTACTTCTATGATTCCATTTGTAAACAAAGCAAAACGAAACATTGAAACAGACAGAAACAGGAAGATTTCCCCAACCGCAATCGCATCATCAATACCCAAACCACACCAAAGCCTTTATATAACCAAAGTTATTCCCATACCAATATCATTTAAATCCGAGTATGGAAGTCTTTATAAAAATGAGACCGAAAACCTTGAAAGCTTAAATTAACCCTAAAATGTCTACCTATACACACGACTTTAAAAAAGTTGAACGCATTTTCTGACGAGGGGATAAAAACAGGCCGTTAAAGGTTATTTACGAGGGGACAAAACATGGTAACAATCACGTGGGACGATAAAAGAAATATGTTGTGTAATAGGCAAGAGAAGGACAACGATTAGATGTGAAAAGTTAATAGGTACGATGAAATGAGTTCATATGTGTCTTTTATGATTGTAGCGTAAAATAACTATTTCTACATATACTAGTCCGTGTGGTGACGGATTAAGAATACAGAGTGTCACCACCCTTATTCATACGGTGGGTGTCGTCAGAGCCGACTAAGGAAACAAACTACGCAGGATAACAACACCGCTAAGAGAAGGAAAACTGTACACAAATCCTATACCAACCCGTCTGGCCAGCGTGGAGCTCCTTTCTAAGGAGAGGCCTATGTCCAGCAGTGGACTATTAAAGGCTGTTCATGATGATGATGACATACTAGGCTTTATAGTATATATTATTTCATTAGTGGTACAGTATTTGTAGCGTAATAGACTAAATTGATTCATGTTGAAGATAGTATTCTAGGACATCTTGTGGCACAAATCTATACTACTCATCAAGAATATCAAGAGTACTCTATTTAACTACAATATTACATCATCAAATACTGTAAAACATCAATAAACTTAATCAAAATTAATATTCAGTAATTCTCAGTCTTTTCACAGGTTTGTACATAATTTCGGGTACATTTAATCTAATTTAAATCATCCGAATACTCGGAATATTTCTGAGTCATCATTCAAAACATTTGGGACACTTCTATTAAACTAAAAATGGAAATAATTTTGTCCAACTCCAGCGTTAAAAGGGTTCATGGGCCAGGGTTGTCAATTAAGAGAAAATTAGATATTCAGTTTCTTCGACGAATTCTGTCGTTGTTACTTTACTTATTATTTTAAGAGGGCTCTTTTCTTTAGAAACTATGAGAGGGAATTGATATTGTGACTAAAGGGACCTCTGAAAGGTATCACCGTCTTTGTAATTGAGTTAAGATGGTGATAATAATAATTTATCGAGTTAGGATATTGGAAAGGAAATGTTTTTGAAGTGATCTACGGCCTGTTGTTTATTAAATTTTATGGTTAGATATGGTAGTGTTGCGGGTTAGCATAGATTATCAATACTTGTGAGTCTAGAGACAAAGGGATGCGTAGAAAGTAATTACATCAATGTTCACCTCGACATCTGGGAAGACTTTTACTTGCTAATAACTATAAAGTGTAGTTCTCTTGATTGATATTTGTAACATCTTGAGATAAATAAATAAATGAAAGTTAAATATTTATTTTACAGTACCAAGTAGCATGATACCGATTGAATAAATGTTATCCTGATTTATTTAATTATTATTGTTGTTTTAAATTAGACAACTCCCGCACTAGGAGTATGTATATCCTGTATCGCGGGGGACTTTACAAACATACATTAAACGGACACAAAGAACACCCAGACTCAGAACGACAATTTGTAGATCACACAAAGTGTCATCCCATATGGGGATCGAACCCATAACCCTCAACGTAGCGTGGCGTCCGCTTAAACCACTACGCCATCCGTGTTCCCGCCATATTGATCGAGTTCTCTCAATTATGGGCTATGAATAAGCCAATAAGCAATAAAAATTTAAAATACTAGATGTTCAGAAATTGCTTGAATTAGTTCCCACATGAATAATAACTTTAG